AAGCTGTGCATACTCTAGCATAACAGCAATCTGATGTATCTGGGATGCATTCAACTTACTGTACAAGCTCAGCACAGATGACATACTTGTCCATAGCTTGCCTGATGACTTCCAAACAAGCTGAAATCACAATCACTGAGGTATCCATGATTTAGCAGATTTCCTCCTTTCCAGAGATGTAAGTAGAATTTTTAAATACCTACAAGACAAGATTTCTAGATGGAAGAGAAAGGATTTGTTCTGGGAAAGGCACAGTAACCCTCAACAAGCCAGTATTAATTTGGGGGGTTTTAATCATATTGGTGGTCTGAGTCTCGTAGCAGCTCTGCTAGAAACAGCTCTGCTGAACTTAAGTGTATCACTCAATTTCTGCAACCCCAAGAAAGAAATACTTAAGAGAAAATTTGGCATCATGCACCATCCTAACTATACACTAAGCCAAGATTTTTGTCTGATCTTTGGTGGGAGTGAGTTTCACAACTGATTACTGAGAAAGGCCTCACTCCCACTACAATGAGGCTGTGAATAAAAATTTTTCTTAAACTCTTCACAGAAGTAAGTGTGACCTTTCAAAATCAGACTTCAGCTTATCTGAGGGTTTGAAAAGCAGTGACTGGACAAGGTCCAATAGCATTAAATGCTGTGAGAAACCATAGCTTGCTGATAATATTGCACAAAGGTCCCATGTGGTCAATGGAAAGGCATAGGCTGAACAATTCTTTAAGAACAGTCCAAAACTTCTGCCACTGCAGCTCTAGCCTCCAATAAGGAGGAGAGAGCTTTTGAGTTAGCCAAAGATAGTTGAAGGCTTTGCCAAGAGTATGGATAACTGCAACTTAGCTAGCCCCAGCAGGATTGTGTTATTTTGACAACCAGCAAACAGATTCCCTCAGCAGTTCAGTCTTTCACTCTGCTTTTTGCTGCCAAAAAGCTCTACACTGTTGAACACTGCCGGGAATAACTTTGCTGAAAAGTGCCATTGGCAGAGCCCCCTTACATAAGGTAGCAACTAGTAGGAGGTGGTGGTGGTGACTGCACATGAAATTAATGGGTTGTCAGACGTATTCTCAGAAAAAATGTGCAAAGATCATAAAGACCTCTGTTGCTAGCTGCTGTCTTGTTTGCTGCCTCAGACAGTGCCAAGGACAGAATGGACATGCAGACCAAATTACCACCTCCTTGCTCTCCAAGCAATTTTTGCCAGGTCAGGATTGAAGGCATACAGTGGGCAGAGCAGGGTGCTGAGGGGCATTTGTGCTGCTGCTGTTTTGACTGGATTTGCTTGGGATAGGCAAGAAGCCACGAGCGGGACAGCAGTCTCCAGCCCATCCCTTCAGCCCTTTCCACAAAAGTATAATTCATTTACTGGAAAGAAAACACTGAAGTGATTTGACTTGTTCAGCGTGCCTATCACAAAGAGTAAATTACTACATGTATTCATCACTGGCAGAAAAGGTCTCCTGAACAATTCCCCGATCCAGTCCACTGCCAATGGGTACTCCGGATAAAGTACTGCCTACCTTGGATTTCTTGTTTGTCATTTTCCTTCCATCTTTCACCCAGTTTCACAATTTCTGAAACCTTTTAAGATCTAAATGCACCATTCTACTAATGTGCAAAGCCCTGAAAACGCCTCTTCCCCAAACTATTAATAACGATGCATATAGCAGGAGTTCACAGGGAGAACCAAGTAACAGGTGGTAGAGATAATATTACACTGCAAAAGAGCAGAGCTGCCACTGCCCGTGTGTTGGGAGGCTAATGTCTCACATTCATTGTCGTGTGCTAGAATGCACTTGGAGCATAGAGAAATGTCACGCAGGTGTCATACACAGCCTGACAATCCAAGTCCCAGAGTTAGTTCATTGTACCATGTCCCAGTGCCAAAAATCAAGGAAGAATTGCAAACATTGCTTATGCTTCAAATAATCAACTTCTAACTCTTAGCTGCTGCATAAACAATTTAAAGCACCGTTGAACAAACATGTCTCTTTCTCGGTTCGGTCACACTAGATCCTAAGTGCTATCAGTGGTGTCAAGAAACCCCAAGCCTGGTGTTAAGTTAGATTTCTGGTGCACAACAGATCAGCTGGTATATTCAAGGCTTAGTGCAGTAACAGCAGGTTCCTGCCTCAGGTTCTTCAAGCCTAAAACTCTGTATATACAAACCCAGCTTACTCAATGCCTTGATTTTTTAAGTCTTTGTCACTTGAAACCAGCACTTCAACTCAGAGCCTTTCAAAAAACAATCACGTATCTTCATGTCTCAACACAGCCCTTCAAGTGTTTATTCACCAAGTTTAAGATTGTTGGTAATTTGCTTCAGGATAATACTTTTATCCTAAAATGATGCTATAAATTCAACAGTGTAGTAATTCCTTTATCTAACACATCTTTGGACATCAACAGTATAGTTGTATAGCTGTCCAGAATGATCAGTCAGCAAAATGAAAAAGCACCCTAGCATATACTGTTACAGAGGTACAAAAATGCAGAGGGTTATAAAAATCTCAGCAGAAATACAGTTTTCTTCTGTCAAACTGCTTTCTTACACCACGTTGCCTTATCTATGAAAAGTGTTTATTGGTAGGTGGGTTGGACTAAACACATCTATTTCAATACACCAAACTCAGGAAGTCCCATGGCACATGTAACATGGTGCCATTACACACATGGCTCATGTGCTTTTTTTCACTGTAACATGCATTACCTCAAAATGTCAGGCATGTTAAATACAAAGTTTTGCAACAAAATCTTTGGAGTTTTCCTCAAGAGTCCAAATTTTTTGGAGCAAAAGTGGCTTTTTATCTGCTTTAGTTATATTGCCATAGAGATTCTAGCTGAAACCTTAAACAGGATTAATGTAAACACACGTGTGAAACAGAGCAAATGATTAAAGCACCTCAATCCTTTCTCATCCAGAACATGCCATCAGGAATGGTGTTTTCATCCCCTACTACTGTCTACACTGAGAAACAAATACAAAACCAAATTATTTCCTTCTTAAAAGCCTTAGAATCTTCCATTCCATCAATGAATTGACTTGTAAACTTGGCTTATTCTTAAGTGACAGCTAATAAACTAAGTGTTTCCACCAATAAAACCTGATGTTAACTCCAGATAGGGTTCAACAATGAAAGAGTACCAAAAAAAAAAAATATTCAGAAAGTCAAAATAATAAACCAAGCCCAGAAATATCACTGTCATTATAAGTGTACAGATGCATATCCCCAGGACATCCTTTATACATTGGAGTAATGGTGTTTTAAATCCTATGCCACAGCTCTTTATGTAAACCAAATTCTAGTGAGTTGATACCCTCTGAACATCAGCCACCTCACACGGGCCCAGAATTAAGTCCAACTTAACGACATACCACCACATAAATCCTTCAAAAGCCTAACTTAGGTTGGCCAGACATGATGCATAGGCCACATGTATCCTTCTGATATCAAAAACCAAACAAACACAATATCCAGAAACAATCCCACAAGCACAAATCACACTAACAGCCTAGCTAAATAAATTCACAGTTGCACTAGTTCACAATTTCATTATAATTTCTCTCTCCTGAAGTCAAGGACTTCGAAGCATTTTTTTCTCTCTACCTAACTTCGTTCTCTAAGTTCTTCCTTCTGATTCCTGAAACTTTTAAAGCACTTCAGAGTGGTACCACACAGGAGCCAGTGCTCTTCACCTTGACATGAAGAGTGTCCTGGAATCCCTACCCGACAGCAGGAGGCAACTCTTACAGCTTTTTCCAAGGACCATTTCTTAGAAGCTCTCCCCTCTTACCATTTTTCCTTTCTTTTGTCACATCAGACTTCCGCTTCCTTTTCAAGGCAGTTCTTAGCAGGACAATTAATACCCGATTTTGTCAAAGGACATCCTTCTCAGCAAGGTACAGCTCTCTCTCCCAAGTATTTATCTTCTACCCAGAACAGTCTTTTACTTTTTGTTTTAACCATACCAAACAGGCTTTTGTGTACTCTGACAGAGATTAAATACACGAGGTACCCAGCTCGGTAGCACACGGTCTGCAGGTAGTAAAATTATGTGTCCCCAAAAATCCCTAGCAACTAATGCTCAAGCACCAGACACTTGAAGAGCGGACAACATTCTCCAGCTTAGTTCTGGAAAGGCTGGGCTTGGAACAGCTGGGAAGTTGCATCTCAAGGCACTTAACTCTTCCTTCTCCTGAAAGCACCAGTTATGAGTATGAGTACTACGAAATGTGAAAGCTCTTTTCTTATCATTTCGCTCCTAACCTGGCGTTGAATTATAAGTGGTAAACTCCAGGTGAAAGGCTCCAAATCCTATTACACATTCTCTCAGCCATCTAGCATGCAATTGCCCCAAGCTGCTATTACTTTTAATCTTGTAAGAGCTACGACAATATTGATCATCAAAACTATTTTGTTTGTACCCTGAAGCACAGTGGCACAGTTTTTACAAATTTCAGCTAACTCACAAAAATCCAAATTGAGTGAGTAGGCTTTTGCCATGCTGAATTCTGCCAACTTACTAGAAGTCATTTCAATAATATATTATCAGCATAATCCAATTTCATTATGTCTCTCTTATCTTTTGTCTGTCCTTGTGCCTGCAGTAAATATGCATCTGTAAATTATTAGTAGTCGGATAACACAAGATGCAGCTAATGAGATAGGAGAAGAGATGGAAAAACAATGCCTCTGACTGAGAAGTTACTTAACACTGAAAGAAGCGAACACGTAAGAGTAAGGGACCAAATCACCATTAGCAAATAAAATCTTCAGGTGCTCCAGTCAAGAAAACTTTACAGATGACGTTGTGAAAGATACATCTTATCTTGCTTCAGGCCAGAATGAATGCCTTGTACAGTGAATGAAAGACCTCCAGTGACAGTCGTGTCTGCCTGCACAGGGAAAATCTGTTGGGAGGTGGCAGTCTTCTAACAGCTAGTGAGGCCTTTTAAGTATATAGCAAATGGGTACCCTAACAAAGGGTCCTTCCCTTACCCAGAATTTGACAAGAAAGAAGGCATTAGCTGGCCCCCTTTCAAAGAGCTCCTTCAGGCCCCCTTTTTTCTCTGGGAACTTGTCATAGATCTGCCGGATATCCACTGCCTCGAGGTAGGGGTCACTGTAGCTGGGGCTTGACTGCCCAATGTGCACAAACAGGTGTTTGTTATACTGCAAGAAGAGGAAAAACATGGAATTAGGAAATTGTTCAGTACCATTCTGTACATACTGAACATTCATGGTTCTTCACAGAAGACTAATGGAAGTCACTGAAGATTTGACAGCACTTTCTAAAAGAACAGAAGTATAAGCAGAAATATATTTGCTAATACTAGGTCATGCCGTTCTTTCTTTCCTGTCAAAACATCACGCTTCTTGCTTCTTCCAAAACATTATTATTAGTTTTTTTCCTATATTCACTCATAAATCATTGCCTCATGCTGCTGTTATATAGTCTGAAATAACCTGAGATACAGTGTTATGTTTCACAAGTCATTCAGCCAAACCTCAACACTCCTGTCCTATGAAGAGCTGCCTGAAATTTTGCAGCAAGGTACCCACCAGACACCAGCATTGTTTTTTAAACTTTTCAGTTTCAGACAGTGGAAATGTAACTGGCCCATCACCAATGTATGTCTCAAGATGCAGTCTCTCGAGGTTTAGCGAGACAGGCAAATCTTACTACTTCCATTTTATAGGCGGCACCATGGAAAAATATTTATATAGATTCATTTCAGTCATCCCCAAATTTAAGTTCCCAGCACACCAGAGAAATATGTGGCTTCTCGTGATCTTATCATCACGTGATTCTGGGTCTATCCTCCAAGGCTGAACAGGAAAGCTAGAACAGCCCAGCAGTGGCAGTACCACTGTCTTATGACCTCTGTGCCTTGAGCTCTGGTATGTGAATATCCATAGCCCTGGAGAAGGAGGCCAAAAGCACATGGTACAGAGCTGGCCATATCGCTATAGGCAATTCTGTCCTCTAAGAGAAGGAAATCTTGTATTTCCCACAGATGGCTTTCTATTCTCAGTAGACTAATGAAGCAAGCATTTCCAGACACATGTAGTAGTAGAACATATCCATGACGAACAGGAGCTACCTGAAGACCAAAAATTAATGAGGGGTGGAAGGCACTAATGGAATGTATCTTACTGTGTCTTGATCTTGTTGTTGTTCCAAGAATGCAGAGAATTCTAACATCCAAAGTTTGGAGCTAGCAACCCTTCGTCCTTGCCAAGCTGGTGCTGATGGGGAAGGCGAGAGGCCAGTAGGAGACTCAAACCCTAAGCACACAGGATTTATATAAAAAAATTTAGAAAGATAAAAGTTGGTAATAGCTTTCCAGTAGAGCACCTTTTCTGATGACTTCAGGCATCATGCAAAAATATCATGCACAAGGGTCCTCACTCTACCTGTGCTCTAAATGGCTTGTCAGATACCCTCTGCCAAGACAGCGTTGTCAGGGTTGGTAATGATGTAAAAAACAATCTCTGGTTTTTGACACCAGAGAAAACACATTAAGCAACTTTAAGAAAACCTAGAGACTGAGCCCTAAATGAGCAATGAAATAAACTGCTTTAGTATCAGTGAAGCATCACCATTAACATGACCATTAACCTCCTAAAATGGGGAAATTGAGAAGGAAAAGACATTTGTTGTTCCACTTAATGAGAAACTGTTGTGATGGAAAATGGTGTTCTAGTACATGCAGCATGGTGGAAGAACAGTAGAGAAACTCAAATTTTAATTTCTGCTGAGCCAGAAGGAAAAGAAATCCTGAAAGAATAAACCTAAAAAAATATATTTTAAAAAATAAAACAAAATTTAAAAGCTTCAGCCCTCTCAGTAAAAAGATGAGAATGGGCAATAAGGGGAAATCATAGAAAAGTTAATTTTGGGCTCACTAAATTGTTTCAGTAGATAAAAACATATGTTTTAAAAAAATTAAATTTTTTATAGTGTTGGCTATTTTTGAAGTTGGAATATAATTTAAAAGCAAGGAACTATATTTCCTTACCTACCTGGTAATGGCAGTGGAGGCTGTACAGCATAAGGTTGTTGAGAAAAAGGTTTCACGCTACAGAAGTAAACAAAGAGAGATGGTTAACAAAACGAAAACAAAATCCACAAAGCAAACAAAAAGAAAGTGTCTTTGGAAAATTATCTTTCTGTGTGGGCAGGAGAGTTATGGAGAAAGACTCAAAAAATCGTAAGGGGCCAGGACTAGTCTGAATAAGATTTCCCTGCAGGGCATTTAGCAGGCTCTCACTGCAGACTTGTTATCCATAAATCCTTATGAGTCTGTTAATACACTACTACCCATTTGTCTTTTCCTTTTAGCCACAGATAGGTGTAAATTTATGCACATGGATATACACCTAGGCTGGATGCCTCTCAGACTTTCAGACCCAGATTCAGACATGTTCAACATCCACAACTGAACCCAGCTTTCAAGATAGCTCAGCTTCATTTTAATACCACTGTAAGAAAAATCAAGATCTGGAGTCATCATCTGACACCAGGGGTGCCAGACACTTCAAGCTTCTGAAAGAACCTCTCACATTGATGCTTCCTCGTTCAATTTCAAGCTAAAGGCATAACATACACTTTTTATTCCTCCTAGGATGGCTTCCACTCTTTTACTAGCTATTCTTCCCCACAAGATATATCAATAGTATCTGCTCCCTGAACTGTTCCACAAACATTAGCAATAGCACCTTTCCAGCTTCTTGTCCTTAAGTTGGCCTAAATTTCTACTTTATGTGATAAAAAGTGTGACTCCATACAAACAAACGAGCACAGAGGAACAATGGCAGGTGGAACAAGCTAAATAATACACTGGCACAACTACACCCAGAGCCATCACTGGTGATGGTGGTCACAAGCCAATTCAAGGTCAGTCCATCAAAGGCTTATCTCCACACCCAGCCAGGGGAGCCCAAGTTTCTGTCAGAGAAACAGATGTCCTGTCCCAGCCTCTCCCAGGGCGGCCACAGGAGAGCCATCAGCCCCATTGTCCAGCTGTGACAACAACCTCTTGAGCCAACAAACCAGTCACCTTACAAGCTGAGGGGCTTACGGCCAAGATGGTATAGTACAAGTTCTCTACTATGAGGGTGGTGAAATACCGGCACAGGTTGCCCAGAGAGATGGTGGAGCTCCATCCCTGGAGACACTCAAGGTCAGGCTTGATGGTGCTTTGAGCAACCTGATCTAGTTAAAGATGTCCCTGCTCACTGCAGGGGAAGCTGGACTAGATGACCTTTAAAGGTCCCTTCCAACCCAGTGTATTCTGTGATTCGATGAAAATGTGATTGCACAAGATTTATTATGGGGATGTTTAGAGAGAATATGGCAAACAGTTGCATCCAAGAAGGTCGGTACAGTTGGCTATCCGTGTCCTGTACCTTGTCAGTGCAGTCTGCCCTTGTCTTCTCACTGAATTCTACTTTTGTTTTCCTGCGTGAGGAGCTCTCAGTCTTGTATGCATGTTTGCTTGTTTCTGGAGCACCAGCAGCATGAGGGTGTGATCACTACCAATTATCAAGCCAGACTAGCAAGCAAGTAGATGGTCTGGGAGCCTGCTGTGTCTCCAGGGGTAAGGATGCTTTCCGCTGGATGGACAGTGAAATGACAGAGAAACTGTGGAATTTGAAGATCGACTGAAAGATGAGTATGTGTGTGTTTATCTCTGGGGGAGACAAACCAGAGAAAAAACCCAGCTACTGGGTATCTAAGACCAGGGATTTACAGCCTGTGTGTGTTTGTGCACATGCATCTGTTTGTGTGCATGTGTGAGAGGTCTGCAACAGCAGCCACTGGAGTGGGGCTGTGGCCTCAGAGGCTCACCTGCCAGCACACAGGGAGACAAGGGATCCCAGGGCAGCTACTGGATAGATCCACAGCACTGACACACTTTCACACTCATCAGTCAGAGAAGGGCACAGGACAAGGCTCTTGGTGCTGTTTGTATTTGTGTGAGTGCTAAGCATTGTTTTCTGCACTGTTCCATGTGGCCAGCTGTGTCTATCTGTGTGTGAGTGCAACTCACATGCATATCTCTGCATATGCCTGCTGGGAATACATGCTCAGCCTTGCTACTGGTTGAACTGGTTGAACTTGAGAGCATGGAGCTGCAGCAGCCTCATGTCCATCAGGCTGCTAGATTCAGCCTCTCCCTAAAATAACACACATTAGGCTGCTTCAGTCATGGAACACATGAAAGGAGTGTAATCCATGTTGAAGGTACCACATGAAGACATAGGGGTTTATCTATTTAAGATTCTCTCATGACTCTCAGTTTATCTTCAAACATGCACCTTAAGTCTCAGATCAACAGTCAGGTGATGTGTCAGAGAGCAAAGGCTACATTATCTTAGCATTTTATAAATCTTGTAATAGCTAATGATGTTCCTCAGGCAACATATAGGAAGCAGCAGAAAGACTTGCTTTGGATGCTCACATGAAGGAATACTCACTCTTGGGAAGATCCAGCTTGGCCTGGCAAAGCTCCTTGCCAAAACTGCAAGAGAACAACATACAAACAAAAGTCACTACTCTTAGGACAGATGAAGAATACGGCTTCCTCATTTCTAAGGAAAGAAACTGCAAGCTCATGGACTTTTAAAGACGTAACTGAGTTATGTCTCTTCTTTCTACATTCCTGGTTTCATTCCTGTGGAGGTGCTGACTGGTCTTCATTTTCTTTCTATGCACTACTACTAGCAACATGCAAGCAACTGACCCAATAGTGGGGTTTAATGATAAATATTATGCATGCACCTTGTGCCTCTGTCTCCAAAACTTTCATGATGCTACTTCTCTTGGAGGGACCATTTTGCCCAAGAGAGCTCCATGGGAGTATTTTGGTAGAAATCAATGCTATCAATCTGTGATCTAAGCACTCAAGGATGAGCTTGGGAATGATAAGCATGAGAAAGGGTCGAGATGGCCCAAACAGTTTTAATTCAACAAGATTCTGGGCTAAGAAAAGAGATACAGACACCTAAAAAAGTTTCAGGCAGCTGAAAACCAAAAAGATCTGATTGTTATCTCACTTGTGTAATTTTTTAAAAAACATATCGTGAAACTCTATTGTTTTACATCAGTGTCAGCAAGGAATCAGACACAAATTGTTGGAAGATAATGGGCTTTGGCCCATTCTTTCTGATGTTCTCAGGATTTTCCTGAGCTGGTCCCAATACCCCTCAAGTGTCTTCAGCCCAATTCCCTCAAGAACCTGATTCACTCACCCCAGAAACAGCAGGGTAGGCTGGTCGTGGGAGACCAGGCAAGGCCATTTTACTATGGAAGGCAGTTGCAGAGATAATCTGGGCAGATGACATTGTAGCCATACTCTGCATTGCTTTATCTTTAGCTGCCTGATCCTATAGGCAAGAGTAGAAATAGAAAAAAACAGAATTATTATAAGGATAAACGAGTTGCCTGGTTAATGCTCCATAACAAGGATTCTCATCAGCTTCTTTGTGGGGAACAAGCACCTCCGAAAACCTGGGCAGCAGACTCACCAGTAACTGTCCTAAGAGCTCTTCAAAGCATGCAGGTCTTTCACCCAGTACTATAGCTTCAGATGTGACTAATCATCCTTTCTGAAATGCTGGGATAACTGATTTGGAGGCTGCTTAGTATTTACCCTTTTTGTCTGAAGGTTTTCAGCTCCACAGCTGAAATTTTGTGTCCTGGAAAGTACAAGTCTAATTGATTCTTGTGTTTTAATCATTGGTCAGAATATTCAATCCGAAAGACTCTTGCTTATCAAGATAAAGCTCACAAGATGAATTGGTCATCATCATCACTGCAAAAAAGGCTACCTCAGTTTGGGACTGCATTCATCTCAGGTGTAGTTGATCATTTTATTCACGTACCTGGGCCAACAGGGCACATATGCAAGAACATTCCTTTTTTGAATTTAAAAGGGCTGTGAAATTGCACTCACTTTTACAGGCAATGACACTGCAAAAACACCCAAAACCTAGGTGTTGTATGTATGTTTAAAACAAATAAGCATTCTTAATTTCTTCTTCCAGTGAATAAACAAACAAAAGCACTTCCCCATATTCTGCCTTTCCTCCTACATTCCCTACAATTAATCTTCATCCTTCAAACACTCCACATTTATCTGTGACATTATAATTATAATGGAAATGACACAGATGAATTCATGGCTTAGAGAAATGGCTGAAAGAGGTAAGCTCTTGCTGTCTTCTTCAGGAATTCTCACTTGCATTTATTAAACTGCAGTAAGTTCTTACCCTTGGGTCTCCATTCTCTCTAATCCCTCCATCTTCTCTAAGGTTTTCTAAAGTCTGAAGCCCAGGGATTCTGATGTGTCTAACACAAAAATATTTGAAGGATGCATAGCAAAGCTCAAGAATAAATGATAACATTTAAGCAGAATGATCAGTAGGAATGGGCAAAACTTGTGTATCTTTTTTTACAGTATCTGCGACTCTTGTTAATATCAATCAAATGAATGGAAGGGAAACATTTTAATTGCTGACAAAGTTCCTAAGACTCTCCAAAGCTATGGGAAATTTTTTTTTGCAGAAACCAGTTTCAATGATGCTTTAGGGAATACTTCAAGAATTACTTACAATATTTTTTTCCTTTTTTTCATGTCATACATAACGACCATTTCCCAGCTGCCCTTGCAGAAAAGGATTTGTTCCCTCCCCTTACTTTCTCACTAGGAAAAAACATATTTATCCACCAGAGCTTACACATGAGTTTATGGGAAAGAAGCATTTACCTGTGGAAGTATTAAAGTCAAGAAACCAAATAAAGCCACAACAAATAATTAAGAAGGGAAAATATTTTATATATTAACCTCTGTTGTGTTTTTCTGTTTAGTTTAAATGCCTGACAGACTGCTGGAAAAGCAGCTAACAGTTCTGTATTAATTTGTATTGTGTTTCCAGTAGGAAAAAAACAAACATAGAAAAAAAGGAAAATGAAAATAAAACTACAAAAACTTTTACCAAACATTTGCAATGTTTGTATTTTCTTTTATTATTCTCAAAACTAGTAATAGTAATAAAACCACCACCTCCTGTTCTTTAGTAGGGGTGATATCTATTTAGAGGTGATATCTATTAGCATCCCAGGACGTGGAAGACTAGTGACTTCTGGGAACAGATTTTTTGCAAAGCTTTACCCTGCTTTCCTACCTCGATCTGCTATGGGCACGGCACACACTTAGAGAAGACATCTCAATTTGTGTGGAAACAGTAATATTATAGTAATTGCTCTGAAAACTCAGCGTGTAGCTACACTGATCTCTAGGATACAAATATGACAACATATACTCAGTATGGAAATTGAACAGTGACAGCTGCCAGCGGCCACTTGGAAGAAGGGCAGCAGCTTTTGTGATTTCGTTTCCTCACTCTATGAAAACAACTAGTGAAAGCAAAGAAGTAAATGAGTTGAATCAGTGCTACCGACTTGCCTCTGCAGGCAGAAAGGAACAGTCTGGTACTGGGGAATGGTTCACAGCAGGCGGCTGGGCAGAGCTCACAGCATGGCCTGGGGCTGTCTGAAAGGAGAACAACCAATGGCTCCATGGAGCTCCCTGAGACACCTTCGTTCCCCAAGATCAAAACCAGCCAGCTCCTGTGTGCTAAATGGAAACAGCCTGGGGTGACTGGCTTTTCAATCATGCCAAATCCCAGAGCTGTGACATGCAAGGAACAGAATCAAGGTTACAGAGGAACAGAATCAAGGTTACAGATAGAAGCAGCAGTAAATCTTTTAACACCCCATGCAGTTGTTGTTTCCTACTCGCTCTAACTTGCCTCTCAAGCAGGCCTCCACCTGAACTGACCACTTAACAGCACCACAGGTTTCAAGCTTAGGCGGCCCTACTTAGAAGCACAAAATTAGGTACTTGTAATTTGTGGCTCCTTCTCTTCATCAGAGCAGCACGAAAAAGAACAGGCTAATGAGAGACACAACACCATTTTCTAAAATGGAGCTGGGAATGGGACGTGAGGATGCAGTCAGGACTCAAGTGGCAATTGCTGCTTGCAATAGAGATGCATGAACTTCAGCACTGGTCAAGACTTGAGTGCCAACAGCTCACTCACAGACAGTCCACTTCTCCTGGTGCCTAGCAAGGAGTTGCTCAGACAGCCAGGAAGAAACACATACTAACTGGTCTACTCAACAGTCAGGGCTGGACGGGGCTATCAAGATCCTCACAATCACCTGAAGCATAGAAGATCAAGGAAGTAAACACGCCTCCCTCCAGATGACTTCTTGCCATACCAAATCAGGAAGGTCTGCATGCACCTTCCTCCTTTGGCTGTTTCAATGATAGATAACAAGGACTGCACCTCACATCCTGCTCTGTTCTGGATGGCATTCATTCCGGATGGCTCGTATTCTGACAGGGTACACCCTCTTGTGCAATTGTCACCCATAGACTTGACCTTCTTGACATTTCTCACAATTTAGTCTGAGCACATAAACCATCTACCTGCTTTAAATCTGAGTAAAAATAAATGTCAAGAGGCTTCAGTTTATTAACGTGATCTCAGAGCTCTTCATATAGAAAGGAAAATACAGATTTCTCAGGCAAGTAGTCAACTATTTTCTTTCTCGTTAGCCCATGCCTCTCCAAATCAGATCTGAATAAATCAATGGATAAACTCTATTCAGCTGGCACCATTTTACCTGAGAAGATGCCAGGTGGCTTTATTGCTTCCTCTCAATGGTTATGCCAACTCAAAACACTTTCTCACAGACAACTCCATACTACTATCACTAGTAAAGGTGGAACTAGCACCGCAGCAACTATAAGGTTACCCTTTCCCAAGGCCATCACAACTGGGACTGATGACTGGTCAGTATTTGTAACCATAAGCCCCACCTCCTTCTCAGGAAAACACTCTTTTCATACTCCCACATCTAAGGGTCTTTCAGATTTGGGTGACGGCAGCATAAACCAGATGTAGAAATCAGGCACAAAAAAAATAAAGTTATTGTTTAAAGTTATTCTTTAAATAGAATTGCTCCAGACGTCACAGAGCTACAACAATACAAGTGTTTGCACAACACTTCCTGGGAAGTACCTTTTCCTTCCCAGCTTACTACAGTTCAGTGGCTAATCTCACCCTTTTTTAAAGGCTATTCAAGGAGGGAATGGCTGACTCAGGGGGCTTGTGTAATATGTTAATGGATACCCATCATACCTTGAGCTTGGCTTGGATCTCTCTAGCTTTCCGCCTTGCCAGGACCTGGATGTGACTAGATACCTGCATTGAAAGACAAAATCCATCTTCATTCCAGAGGAGTACTTAGTAGCTTCTTGAAGAAGTAAACAAAGTTTAGGCACCTTGTGCAATAGGGAATTATTTAGAGTTGAGGGGAGGCAGGGTTGCGGTAGCAATGAGATCCTCTTCTGAATGTAACTTAAATGTCACAAGATGATGTGGAGGACCAGCAAAGATAGGCCATGTAAGGCTTTTTCCAATTCAAATGGCTTTATCAAGCCAGGGGCCACCTCTAAGCTAAAGAGTCTATCCTTAAATCTAGGGACTGAGAGTTCTGATCTCTTTGTCCCCCATACTGGCCTCCTCTTGGGAGAAGGGAAACCCACATTCCATATCTTTGGCCACTATATAATCAGGCTCAGAACTTTCCTATATCTAACATGGGCCAAAACAATAAAATAATTTGGACCAGAAGAAACTTTTGGATGTCATCCACCAACCTCCTACTCAAAGCAGGTCTAGGTTGCTCAGTGCTTTGTCCAGCATAGACCAGACTGTCATTCCCAAATTACAAAGATTCCTTTTCATTCTGTGTGCCAGGTACTTTAAACATCACCATTGCTGTCCATCTGTGTGGACTGAATAAAGAATCTTCATAGAGAGAACTGATGTTCACTGAAATGTTCATTAGTAGAACAAACAGTTAAAATCATACACCTTTTAACAGAAGAAATGTGTGTTTGTCGTGATGTGTTTGGGAGACATGAGCATTACAATCCTCCTGTAAAATGCCTGAGCTGACTCTTTCACCATTCTTATTAACCAGCTTGGCACAAAAAACTCTTTACAGCAAAACCACAGGCTAATAGCAAGTGTACAGTTAGGGATTTGTTCTCATAAGCCCTTATGAAGTCTAGTGATCCAAAGCAGCTAATGTTTACAGGGAAAACTTTACACTTACCTGTTTTCTTGTGCGCGTTTTCCCTGTTCTCAGCTTAATGTAGCGGGCAATTAGCTCATTTCGGCCTGGAACAGAGAAATAATGCAAATATAAGTTTAGAAAGCTATGACTCCAGGGAAAAGATGGACAATGGAATTATCTCTCTATAGACATCAGCAGTGGGATTATATTCTGTCACACTATTTCCTATCCTAGAAAGGTACTCTTACTTACAGGAACCATGTTATGTTCACGTGGTAAAGGTCTTAGTTTTAGGAGCAGAACTTTGGGCTGCAAATTCTATTTCCCAGCTTGCATCTGTATAGCTTAAAATTAGCAATAAAAAGGAGAATGCTATGCTTTGCTTAATAATTATAGTACGTAGTGTGTAGAGGCTGTAAATGTGGGTCAAGATTGCCAGTACAAAGAAGAAAGAGGAAAGCCACTCACCCTAAAACATTCAAAAAAGCAAGAAGGAAGATCCAGGAAACAACAGGACAACAGGCAAGTCAGCCTCACCTCAATTCTCGGAGATGACGTAATTGTGGAAAACATTTACAGACACATGAAGGACCAGAAGGTGATTGTAAATAGTCCATGTCAATATAAAATAGGAGATCATACTTGCCCAACTTGGTACTTTCTACAGTGAGGTGACTAGCTTGGTGGATAAGTAAAGAGCCGTATATACTGCGACTCTAGTAGGGGTTTTGACTCTGTCTCCCATAATGTCCTCATAGGCAACGTGATAAGGAGGTGGGCTGAAAACTGGGTTGAATGGATGGGTTCCTCATTGACAACGAGCTGACAAAGAGCAAGCGATGCACCCTCATGGCAAAGGCAGTCAACAGAATTCCAGGCTGCATTAGGAAGATTGTTGCCAACAGGTCATCCTTCACCTCTACTGGGCACCGCTGAAGGCAACATCTGCGTACTGTGGCCAGTTCTGGGCTCCTCAGAACAAGAAAGATGTGGATGTACTGTAGTGAATCCAGCAAAAAGTCCACAAAAAAGATTAATGGACTGGAGAATCTTTCATGTGGGGTTAGGCTGAGAGAACTGGGGCTGCTCAGCCTGGAGAAGACTTACGGGGAGGTTTTTTTCAATAAATATAAGTACATGACTGGAGGTCATGAAGAAACCAGCTTCCTCCCAACAGTGTCCAGTGATAAGACAAGAAATAATAGGCACAAACTAAAACACATTAAATTCTATCTGAAAACAAGAAAAAAGAAAAGGAAAGGGAAAGAACCCAACTTTTATGCTGCAAGGATGGTCAAACACTGACATAGGCTGCCCATCCATCCTTGGAGGATACTCAGAACATAACTTGACACAATCCTGGGCAACCTGCTGTAGCTGACACTGCTTGATCAGCAGGGCCAGACTAGACAATCTGAAGAGATCCCTTCCAACCTAAATAAGTCTGTCATTCTGCAAATTTAATTACAAGAAAATAAACCACAATAGGGAACTACAACAGCTACACCGAATTTACCAATGTGACACGGTACAGAAAATTAAGAGTGCTTTCAAGCTCTTACAGACATCCTTATAAAAGTCTCTTTAGAGGAGACTTAGAGAAGGAAGATTAATTTTGTGACAGGCTACGGGGAGTGCCCATAAACAGGAAGGTGAGGCACTGGCTGGGAGAGGTGAAGGAAACCTTGTCCAGTTCTGGAACAAGCATGCATCGCAGGCACTAAAGACAGTTAGAAGGCAAAAGAGATGGCACAGTGAGACTGTGTCCTTCAGGGCCAAGGGAAACAAGGACAAGTAGCTTTGTGTTCAGTGTGAGAGGAGAGGCCAGTGCAGAGATGCAAAGAGAAGATGGTCACAGTGATAGATAAGGAAAATGGTTAATACATAATAATGTTAATACAGCAACATGAATGAAATGACCATCGAAATGTGAAGCTGCAGGTCACTGGTACAAAATCTGAAATTGCTTGGAATGAGAGCGGGCAACTGCAGAAGACTCAGGTCAAGGACTTAAAAACTGGGAAGAGAAGCAGCGAAGGCTGAGCTACTGACAACTTCAGGGAACACAACAAGTGAGATTAAACCCAATTGACAGCCAGCACTGCAGAACTGCTTGAGAGTGGAACCGAGACATAAGGACACTGTGCAGGTCCCCTACACTGGCTACCAGGTATCAAACCCAAGCAAACACACAGATTTTATTATCTTCCTAGAGATGGAGGATTAAAGAGCAGAAACAGAAAAGCAGCAGCTACACATCTGAAATCCAGGCACATTCAGGACAGAAAACATGACAGAAAGAGCAGGCTCTGGAAAATGGTACATCTGTGGTGACCACACTAGTACCTCAGTAAAATGTTGGGAGTGGGAAGCAAAAGACTGCAAGACATCTTATATGGCTGCAGATGTTTGAGGAATGAAGCAGGAATAAACTGGGAAGTAAAAGTTTTATTTATAACAAAGTTATTTAAAAAACAGTGTTTTCTATGGAAAGTTTAAGGGCTGAATAGAAAACTTGTACATCAGGACATGTCCTAGTTCAAGCCAAACAGAACCAATTCGGTTCAGAGATTTTACTTTTCAGCTGAGACTCTTCTAAGGGATTGCACTTCTTGAAATTAGCAGCATGTTTTCATGCAGACAGTGTCTGCTACTATTGGTGATAACACTTGATGTTTATAGTTCCTACCAAGCACCGGTATGCAGAAAGGCTCCTGCTTACACCTGCTCCTATAGGAGCAAGGTCACTGCTAAACCTTGTGCACCGTATGTTGGGGGTGCCAGGAACTAAAAGGGTGACAAGGAAGTAAAAACTTGCACCTCTGGGGAGGAACAGACAGGACAGGTGACCCAAACCTGACCAACACTATCCCATTCCATATACATCATATTCAGTATAAATCTGAGGGATCATGGGGGTTAAGCTTCTTCAATGATCAGAGTCCGAGGAGGACTCCGTCTGTTCTGCTTTTGATCCCGAGTTCCCAAATCCAGCTCCTGTATCCAGCTCCCCGCTGCCACTGAGCCTGAGACTTGTCCAGTGCCTGCCTGCTCTGCAGCATCAGTGGTGATAGCTGTAAGGGAAAGGGGGAGTGGGATTAAATATTGGGTTTGTATATCTTTCATTTATTTGTATATACTCCGTTATTTCATTATTTCCTTATTCCTGTTTCATTAAATCTGTTTAGTTTCTTTTCCAGTCTGTAAGTCTCTCTGTCTCATTCCATTTTCCCTTCCATCTCGGGGAAGAAGAGGGATTATTAGAGAGCATCCATCATTCATTTAGTGGTCAGCCCAATCCTAACCCTTGACAGAAAATCACAGACATCAAAAAAGGAAGCAGTGAAAACAGATGCAGCATTTATTCCAGTAGTTTAATATTCCATTAACAAAACTTTTTTAACTCAACCCCAATAGAAATAAATGTGTTAGAGACTGACCACTCAAACCTTTAAGGAAGGGCTGGCAAAACTCCTACTTCTATCTGTTTCTCAAACAGAAGAATGCAAATGTCCATGCATTTGTGCCATGTTCATGAAACATAACCAAAGCACACATAGGGACAGGAAAACATTTTAAATTTACAGATCTTAATCTTTTCCTAATGGTGCCTGTGGCCAGCGGTGTTCCCCAGGGATCAGTGCTGGATCCGGTTTTGTTCAATGTCTTCATCAGTGACCTGGACAAGGGAATAGAGCGCACCCTCAGCAAGTTCGCTGATGATACAAAACTGGGAGGGGTGGCTGACACACAGGAAGGCTGTGCTGCCATCCAACGAGATCTGGACAGGTTGGAGAGACAGCTGGAGAGCTGGGCAAAGGGAAACTTCATGAAGTTCAGTAAGGACAAGTGTAGAGTCCTGCATCTGGGGGGAATAATACCAGGCACCAGCACAGATTAGTGTATGTCCTGCTGGAAAGCAGCCCCATGGAGAAAGCCCTTGGAGTCCTAGTGGACAGTGAGTTGTCCATGGGACAGCAATGTGCCCTTGTGGCCAAGAGGGCCAATGGGATCCTGGGGTGCATTAAGAAAAGTGTGTCCAGCAGGTCCAGGGAGGTTCTCCTTCCCCTCTGCTCTGCCCTGGTGAGACCACACCTGGAATCCTGTGTCCAGTTTTGGGCTCCCCAATTCAAGAGAGACAAGGACCTACTGGAGAGAGTCCAACGGAGAGCTACGAGGATGGTTAAGGGACTTGAACATCTCTCCTATGAAGAGATAACTGGGTCTATTTCGTCTTGAGAAGAGAAGGCTGAGATGGGATCTCATTAATGTGTATAAATATCTGAGGGGTGGGTATCAAGAGGAAGGGGGCAGTCTCTTTTCAGTGGTGCCCAGTAATAGGACAACGGAGAATGCGTATAAGCTAGAACATAGGAAGTTCCACCTCAACATGAGGAGAAACTTCTTCACTGTGAGGGTGACAGAGCACTGGCACAGGCTGCCCAGAGAGGTTGTGGAGTCTCCTTCTTTGGAGACTTTCAAAACCCACCTGGACACGTTTCTGTGTGGCTGCCCCAGGGGATCCCGCTCTGGCAGGGGGGTTGGACTAGATGATCTTTCGAGGTTCCTTCCAACCCTGAACATTCTATGAGTCTATGATTACAAATGCTCTCTTTATTCCCTTGGGAGAAGAATCAAGTCTGTAGCTGAGAAAAAAATAAAATAAAACAGCTCCAGCTCCTCCATACATAAATTAGGAACTATTTCTGTGCCAGAAACACAATGCCCAGCATAAAACCACTGAACTCTTCAGTTCCCACAGCTTCAGCATTAGCACAATGACATGCCCAGGAGAGTTTGATGGCAGTAGTTGCTGTTATGCACCTTTCACTTGGCTGCTTTTCCAACCGATGTAGCCATTTTTACAAAGCTAAGACAAATTACTAGCAACACATACCCACACCACCTTTTTCTACTGCCAAGAATAATACTTATGACTTTTCAAAGCCTCCATCTGTTGGACATGGATCCAAGTTGAAAGGTAAGGAACAACCAAAGTGATTTTTCTAACACAGGTGCCAGCATATACAAAATTTCAGGATAGTTTGACACACATCAGAAGTGGGAAATGTGCACAGCAAAACAAAGGGCTTAAACCCCATTA